TGGGCCGATCAGGTCGGTTCTGATCCAATAGATTGTTGGCCGTCGACGAGCCCCACGGAACGAGCCGGGCTCCGCTCGATTTAATCAATCTAGCTGTGTATCGAGGAGTCCGGGTTCGAATTTTGTTTCGAATATAATTGGATTGCCTCTGTGGAAACCGGATCGAGCCATGTCCAACCGCGCGCAGGCGATTACTGTTACAAAGATGTTACGAATGTTAATTAATTTGCGCGTCGTACGGCGGTCAACGATTCACGTACTTCACGTGATTTGCTCGATCTTCGGCCTTGGAAAACGATGATCGAAATTTAGCCGCATCGGGGACGATTTCAATCTTGTACTGCATAACGACGAGATAATACTGGGTCGTTCGGAAAATTGTTTCGCACTTTCGCAAGAAAATGAGAGACGATTTTTTAAACGTTCAGAGTAGAAAAAAAGACGGAAAAATTTTTCTGACATTTTTCTGGTAACTTTGGAGGAAGCTTATGCTCGTAGAAGTCCCGTTTCTAATTGGCAAAATACTGAAAATCGAGTGGTTTTTTTAAAAGATATTCAAAAGACATTTATTTTCCCAATAATAATTTGATTTTCGAAAATAAAGAAATATCCGATGATCTATTAATTTTATTCGGTGCATGCGACAAAAATAAAAGACATAATAAACAGAACAAATTTTCGTTTGACTTAAAGAAAGATAAGAAAGAATGAAAAATAAAAATAAATTAAAAACATAATAATTTGCTTTTCGAAAGTAATGAATTACTTTTTGTGCCAATATATATCGAAAAAAATTGCAATAAAATAAAATAAACATAAACGTAAATAAATATAATAAAAACATTCATCAATATTCCTTCACATACATGCAAAGAACGTAGAAATATCAGTATTGCATTATCCAGATAATGCTATTTGCTACGAAACAGTAGAATATCTCCAAATCACGTTTTCTTTCAAAAATGTTATTCTCAGTATTGAATTAGAACAGCGATTTGTCCCGTGATTATGTAAAATCCGTTGTCTACTAATTAGCAAAATCTGCGTAGAGTGATCTCGATATCGAAGGATACGGTATAAACGTTTAAAAAATCCGAAACATCGGCAATTGACGAAATCACGCGGCAACGACACTGGCAAACGATTATACAATCGCGACGACCAATTAAGACGAGATTCCCCAGGATTGCGAGATTCGCGTGACGACTAAATGCGCTTCCTTTAATGAGATCCCGAGGAGTCAGCCGGCTGGTTAAATCAGCGAGGCGGCCCGTTAGCAGCCCTCCGTCCGGATAACAATTAAGAGACAACGACTGAAACAGCCCGAGCTGTTGCAACGGCATCTCCGTTTCGGCGACGTCGAATCGGAACTGTTGCGACAACAACGTGACCGTTATATCAACGGCCACCGAGATCTGGTTTCAAACTCCATAACAGACCAATCGATGATCGGCTTCCATTCTACCACCTTAAACAATCTAGTTTCATGTTTCTCCCGGCTCTGCCGTTTTAGGTCACGCGCACCCCCGCAATCTCGACTGACCCGTTACGTCTTGCTGTTAGTTCTCGCTCGACAACGTGACTCCAGAAGCTATCGATAAATTAGCTATCTTGCCTTCGGTCATCCAGAGTTCTAGCTGTCAGCCGACCGGCGAGGAGATTCGCGCTGTTTCAATCGAACGAGACACAGGATGGACAAAGAGAACAATGCCCGAAAGAGAGCACTGTTGAGGAAAAAAATTTAGATTCTGGAATGATCTGGTGATCCGGTTGTTGTTTCTCTTTTATGAAAGTTTTCGTTTCTGGTGGTAGCAAGTTGATATTGATTTCATAGAAATTAAATCGAGTCGGTGAGACATTGTGTTGTGGTACAAACGTCGGAAGAATTCAGGACGATGATATTGTATTATTTTGTGTGGAACAGTGATATCTCGAGTTTAGATGGTTTTAGTTTAGTTGTTTCTAGACTAGCTGTCTCTAGTATAGATACCTTTAGTTTAGTAACTTCAGCTGCAACTGTCTCTACCATTGCAACCTGAAGTTTAATTACTTTCAGTTTAGCTATCTCTATTTCAGCAGCCTCTGATTTAGCTACCATTAATTTAGCTACCCCTAAGTTTGCTTCCTTTGAACTAGTTATCTTTAGTTTAGCTAGCTCTTTAGTTGATTCCTTTATTTTAACTACCTCTGATTTAGCTGTCTTTATTCTATTAATACTTCAACTTCCTCCGTTTAACTTCTTTTAGTTTATCTAGCTCTACTTCAGCTGCCTCTAGTTTAGCTATCATTGGCATTGCATCTTCTAGTTCAGCTTCTGCTAATTTAACTTCTTTTAGTTTATCTACCTTTATTTCAGCACCCTCTAGTTTAGCTACCTTTTGGTCCACCTATCTCTAATTTAGGTACCTTTAGTTGAGTAACTTCAACTTCAATTGCCTCAGGTGTAGAAATCTGAAGTTTAGCTACTTTTGGTTTAGCTACCTTTATTTCAACTGCCACTGATTTAGCTACCATTAATTTAGCTACCTCTAGGATTTAGCTGTCTTTATTTTAGCATCTTCTATTTCAACTTCCTCCATTTAACTTCTATTAGTTCAGCTACCACTACTTCAGCAGCCTTTAGTTTAGCTATCATTGGCTTAACACCTTCTACTTCTACTTCCTTCATTTAACTTCTTTTAGTTCATCTACCTCTACTTCAGCTGCCTTCAGTTTAGCTATCATTGGCTTAGCACCTTCCACTTCAGCTTCTGCTAATTTAACTTTTTTTAGTTTATCTATCTTTATTTCAGCAGCCTCTAGTTTAGCTGCCTTTGGTCCGCCTATCTCTAATTTAGCTACCTTTAGTTTAGTAACTACAACTTCAATTGCTTCTGGTATAGAAATCTGAAGTTTAGCAACTTTTGGTTTAGCTATCTCTATTACAGCAGCCTCTGGTTTAGCTACCATTAATTTAGCTACCTCTAAGTTTGTTTCTTTTGGTCCAGCTATCTTTAGTTTAGTTAACTCTCGAGTTGCTTCCTTCATTTTAGCTACTTCTGGTTTAGCTGTCTTTATTCTATTAATACTTCAACTTCCTCCGTTTAACTTCTTTTAATTTATCTAGCTCTACTTCAGCTGCCTCTGGTTTAGCTATCATTGGCTTAGCACCTTCTACTTCAGCTTCTGCTAATTTAACTTCTTTTAGTTCATCTATCTTTATTTCAACAGCCTCTAGTTTAGCTGCCTTTGGTCCACCTATCTCTAATGTAGATACCCTTAGTTTAGTAACTTCAACTTCAATTGCCTCTGGTACAGAAACATAAAGTTTACCTACTTTTGGTTTAGCTATCTCTATTTCAGCAGTCTCTAGTTTAGCTACCATTAATTTAGCTACCTCTAAGTTTGCTTCCTTTAGTCCAGCTATCTTTAGTTTAGCTAGCTCTAGTGTAGCTTCCTTTATTTTAGTTACCTCTGATTTAGCTGTCTCTATTTTAGCATCTTCTATTTCAACTGCCTCCATTTAACTTCTATTGGTTCATCTACCTCTACTTCAGCAGCTTTTAGTTTAGCTATCATTGGCTTAACACCTTCCACTTCAGCTTTTGCTAATTTAACTTCTTTTAGTTTATCTATCTTTATTTCAACAGCCTCTAGTTTAGCTGCCTTTGGTCCACCTATCTCTAATTTAGATACCCTTAGTTTAGTAACTTCAACTTCAATTGCCTCTGGTACAGAAACATAAAGTTTACCTACTTTTGGTTTAGCTATCTCTATTTCAGCAGTCTCTAGTTTAGCTACCATTAATTTAGCTACCTCTAAGTTTGCTTCCTTTAGTCCAGCTATCTTTAGTTTAGCTAGCTCTAGTGTAGCTTCCTTTATTTTAGTTACCTCTGATTTAGCTGTCTCTATTTTAGCATCTTCTATTTCAACTGCCTCCATTTAACTTCTATTGGTTCATCTACCTCTACTTCAGCAGCTTTTAGTTTAGCTATCATTGGCTTAACACCTTCCACTTCAGCTTTTGCTAATTTAACTTCTTTTAGTTTATCTATCTTTATTTCAACAGCCTCTAGTTTAGCTGCCTTTGGTCCACCTATCTCTAATTTAGATACCCTTAGTTTAGTAACTTCAACTTCAATTGCCTCTGGTACAGAAACATAAAGTTTACCTACTTTTGGTTTAGCTATCTCTATTTCAGCAGTCTCTAGTTTAGCTACCATTAATTTAGCTACCTCTAAGTTTGCTTCCTTTGGTCTAGTTATCTTTAATTTAGTTAGCTCTATAATGTTGCTTTCTTTATTTTAGTTACCTCTTGTTTAACTGTCTTTATTTCAGCTCCTTCTACTTCAACTTCCTCCGTTTAACTTCTTTTAGTTCATCTAGCTCTACTTCAGCTGCCTCCAGTTTAGCTACTTTTGGTCCACCTATCTCTAATTTAGTTTACTAACTTCAACTTCAATTGTCTCTCATATAGAAACCTGAAGTTCAGCTACTTTTGGTTTAGCTATCTCTATTTCAGCAGTCTCTAGTTTAGCTACCATTAATTTAGCTACCTCTTAGTTTGCTTCCTTTGGTCTAGTTATCTTTAATTTAGTTAGCTCTAATGTTGCTTTCTTTATTTTAGTTACCTCTTGTTTAGCTGTCTTTATTTCAGCTCCTTCTACTTCAACTTTCTCCGTTTAACTTCTTTTAGTTCATCTAGCTCTACTTCAGCTGCCTCCAGTTTAGCTACTTTTGGTCCACCTATCTCTAATTTAGTTTACTAACTTCAACTTCAATTGCCTCTGGTATAGAAACCTGAAGTTCAGCTACTTCGGTCTAGCTACTGCTAGTTCTATTTCTTTTGATTTAGCTACCTATAGTTTTCCTTCCTTTAGTCCAGCTATCTCCAGTTTAGCTACGACCGAGAAATTCTCTTCGCCGAAGTTTTTCTCACTTTCACACCCAGATCAATCCAGTTTAAGGATCAAGATGGAATAACATTGGGAAAGTTTCGACCCAAAGACACATGATCTCACCGTCGTCCATAATAGCCGTGGTCACGTTCTTTCCAGTAACACCCTGCGCCCACGCTGCCTTCACGTTCAGGTCCAGCTTCGGCTTGCCCCCGTTCTGACCCGTGTTCTTCAGGTACCATTGGTATTGAAAATACGGATCAGACGGGTCTCTGTTCCCAGGATTCCACGGGTTCTTCATCTGGTACAGAGGCACGAGGTTGTCGACGCTCAGAGGTTTGTAGCCTCGCTTCACTCGCTTGAACCCTGGCTGTTGCACCGCTGTATGCACCTGAAACAATGGTAAAAATCACGATCATAGCGAACACTTCTTTCGAACTGATATCATTTTGTTCTTTTACTTTCAGAATATATAGAGATTTATTTATAAAATAGATTTACTTTAGAGATGGAAATTTTACATTCGTAAAAACTCGAATCCGAAATTTTCTGAGTTCTCGAAATTCTCGAATAATCCCGAATGTTTATTCTTTTCGTTTTTATGTATTTTTAAGGGGCATCTGTTTCGTCGGGAACTAAAATGTTGACAAATTTTTTTCAGAAAATCAAATTATTTATTGAAAGTAATTAAATGAAAATTGAAAGTAGATGAAAATTAACAAATTAAAATTATAATCTCATTTTTTCCTCGATTCAAACAAACGATTGCAATGGATTGATGAAATCGTATCAATTAAAATGTGTCTAAAGTCTAAACACAAACTCAGTTCGATTATTATTGATCAAATAATTTTTATTGAACAAGATCAGCGTCAAAATAAGAAATAAATGAACGTGAGCAATCAAAATTTGTTTTGATAATTAAACCCAATATAATTACACAAAGTAGATATTAACAAAATCAATTAAACCATAAAACTGTAACACATTCTACTAAACTTTGAACGTAAGCTATACAAATTTAGAAAAAGTCTTAACCGCGTCGCTCTCACAGACGTGTTATATGAGCCGTTTATTTCGAAAGTGGCATAAGTCACTTTTTCAAAAAAATCGAGTTGATGGAAACACAAATTACAATTGAACGGTATCTTCTCATTTAAAAAAAAAAAAGAAAGTGACTTATGCCACTTTAAAAATAAACGGCTCATATCGCGACGCCGATACTCTTGGTACAAGGTCGGCGTCTGTTACATTCTGCTCGTCCATTTTCCGAAACAATTATAAAAGCAATGCCGGCACGTTCGCATCTCACGAGCGTTTAATCGAGTCGCTAACTTGCCAGGGTGGAACGGGGACGGTGAAACGATCGAAAGAGATCGCGTAATGAAAATGCATGAGCGTTGTACAGCGAAGATGGGCGTTCATTCAACGGGATAATGATGATTTTGTGCGGCACCGAGGCTCCGTCAAAGAACCGTAATTTTATGCGAGCAATCTGTTCCTCGTTCGATTACGTTCTCGTCGCTGTGCTGGGCCGCGCCGCGCGAGCCGTTGGATTGGGTATTCATTTACATTTATATCAGTTGGCTGATGGATCGCGTGGCCCTGAATCGAGCCTCGAACAAACCGCCCACGGTCCCGCGATTCATTTCGCTCGGTTTACTCGGTGATTTTCCACGGAAACGCCGGGATACCTTCCCCCCGACGTCGTTGTCTTTTCCCGCGCGATTTTCCACCGGTACCTACTGCCACAGAATTTGACGGTGTACGAGGAATACGACGAATTGGTTCTGTTTTTACAATTTACTTTGAACGGTGTTGATAGGTTGGTCCGTCAATTGTCCAATTCTTTTGTTAATTGTCGATTATTTTCTGAGTTTCCATTTGTTTGTCTGGGCTATTTGCTATCTTTAACACACACACACACACACACACACACACACACACACACACACACACACACACACA